GAGTGTTGCCATGGATGAAAACGGTATATCAAAACCACGCCCCCTCCAAAAAATAAAAATTAATGGACCTAACCAATATAAATACGCTTCCACTGCAGGGAATTTCGGAGGCCAGGCACCAGTTTCACATTTATTACAAAATATTACCGGCAACACTTCAGTGTAAATTATAAACTTTATGGGCATTGTATTGGGAATAGTGCATCAAACATTTTTTTCTTCAAATTTAGTGCTCCGCCCTTCCTATAATTTGTGTGCCAGAGTTGGTCAAAGAAAAAAAAAAGATCCTAACAAAAACTCAATATATTAGGATAATGCCGGGGGGGGGGGGGGAGGAGGGGTAGTGAGCATTTAATTTTTTCCTCTTTCGCCCCCCTGGATTTTAAAATCGCGTCGGCCGATATTTCGTTCAACACCGCCCCCCCTCCCTTGAGCAACAAAGAAAAGGTAAATTTCTGGCCACAATTTTTTTTGGGGGGGTCCCGTCTCGCCCCCCACACTCTGTGTTATTTAGGGTACGCATATGCGTGTTCCCAGCACCCCCCCCCCCCCCCCCTTTTCAACATAAGTCCGGTGTGTGAAGTCAATACGGGGAGACCTTTTTGTTTTGTTATACGAGCCTTTTCTCAGCACCCCCCCTCCCTTTTCAGCACATGTCCGGTGTATAAAGTCAATACTGATAGACTTTTTTCTTTTGTTACGAGTCGGAGATTTTGGGAACACGCATGCGGTCCCCCGTTCCCGGAGTGGGAGAGCCGGGGGGGGGGGGCCCGGCCCCCCCACTCAGTGTTATTTAGGGTACGCATATGCTCGTACCCTCTTTTTGAAAGCACCCCCTATCTGAGGACTGCCAACATTTCCGAACCCCCCTTTCGCGGGCTTTTCGCGGGCTTTTTTTGCATTGGAGACCCCCCTAAATCAGAAAAAATGCTCAATGTACCCCCCTAAATTCGGAATAATTTCTCAGGAGTCCAAAGAGATGAGAGAAAAAAGAAAAAACACCCCCTTTTTAAAGAAATCTCCGGGTGAAAAGTCAAATACACCCCTTTTCTTACAATTCTCGGGCCGGACTTTGTCGCACGAAAAGTACCCTTTTACCGGACATTTTGGCAACACGCATGCGGTCATTCCGACCTCTGAGTGGGGGGGGGGGGGGGGGGCGGGGGGGGGACGAACAACAACAATCTCGGTGACCCCAAAAGCTTGTTAGAGGATCAACCAACATAACAACACTACAGGATGCATGATCAATACCATCCATACAACATCAGAACAACGAGAGTGAGGAATTAAAAAGCTTATTCTGTTTTGTTTTTTTCTCGAGAAACATCAAGTTTGTCAACCTACAATTTACCAAAAACAAACAAAAAAAAACTGGAAAAAAAATAAGTAAACAAAATATTATGACCCCAATTTGCCAAATAACCACATAGGCCTCCCCCAAAAATAAAACAAAATTAGCTTTGTAAAGTTTGTTGAATGCAGAACCTGGTTTTGGACAGAGCCATCTATATACAGAGTTTGGCCAACTTGGTTTCACTGGGTCACAGCATGCCGTATATCCCTTTTTAGTGCTTGCCCAACAAAGCAGTTGTCGCCATATTGTGTCCAACATTGAACCGGGTTGGCCAAACTCTGTTCATAGATTTTTTAAATTTTTTTAAATGATATTTTATTTCCTTCCTCATAATTTCACAGAACAAGAAATTCGCATAACAAGAAATTATCAAAATAAGCAATATAAAACATAGATGGCTCTGGTTTTGGAATAAACATAGCGCCCTCAAATATCTATGGTTTTTCTTTGAAGGCGTCACTGTGTGACATCCTCTAACAGTAGATTCTCGCTAACATTTTTGAATTTTCCCAACCGTTTTTCCATGAAAATATGACATAAGACGGGCTTTAAAAAAAAGCTTTCAACACTTGGATGTCTGGACTGGTATATAGAGCCAATTCAATGCTTTGAGACGACTTACATTCACCTAAACTGTAATTAAATTGTATTAATATAGTTGGGAGAAGTAAGGAATCGATCAGATAATTTTCCCCCTATTGTTATCATTAATAATGGTCTGTTTTTTACTCAAATTTTCAGATTATCTTTAATTACACATTTAGCAGTGAAGTCACTACCTTAGCCATTTTGTCTTATCTAAACAATGTTACCAAGTTCCTTTAAGTTCAGAGAAGATATAACCTTTATCTATCATGAATAAATCATATTCTCACAATCACTTCACGAAGTTTTGAACAACCTTGTAAATTGATTATATCAATGAAAAACATGGAGTCAACTGTAACATTACAAATAATACATTTATTCAAAAATAGTGAAATATATCTCTTTCAGAGTAAATTAGTTAATAACTCTCTTATCACAAAACTCGCTAAATTTACAAGTCAAGGTACATCACTCATCTTCAGTTCCATCTTGAAGAAAACTGAGGAGAAAAAAAACCCTGCAATTTGAAAAATGTAAATTTGCCCTGTTGAGCTATGTCTGTAGAATGCTCATAGATAAGAAATACAGTCAAGCCTGTCTCAGTGGCCACCTCTCTATAAAGGCCTCCTTTCTATAGTGGTCATGTATTTTGTCTCACTCAAGAAAGAAATGTGTTGTGGAACCCGTCTAGAAAGGCCACTTCTGTTTCCCTTGGGTGGCCTTTATAGACAGGTTTGACGGTATATTATGTAATGACATTTCAAATCACTGAAGTCAGGGAAACCCTCAAATCAGGAAAAAATGGCAGAAGTGACTGGCAGAATCATACTGAAACCAGTTACGGTGATCCAACATTTCCTACTGCAACATATTTTGTTCTGTTCTTTATTTTGTCAAAGATATAGGGTTGGGGTTTTAGGTAAGGTTTAAGGTTAGGATTTAGTACAAGTATTTTGTTTTGTCCTGGGTTGAGTTGGAAGAATGCAGTCATTGTAAGAATTTGACCACAGAGCAATTGTTCCTGGAGTATGCATTGTACAGTTGCATGACTGCCAATCTACCTGTAGGCTACAAGACATGAGACCAACAGCCCAGAGACTGACAGCCCAAAAGACCGATGGCCCACAAGACCAAAAGCCTTCTGATAACATTTTTGAAGGTACACCAGACTGACATTATTGGTCTCATGGGCCGTCGGTCTTCTGAGATGTCCCGTGAGCTGTATACAATTTGGCCATATTACATTATTCAAATTTCTTTCAAAATAAAGCTGTATTCAGTTCATACATTTCGCCCAGTGGTTCCACAAGTACATTTTACCAAACCTTACACTTATCTTGCAGGGGTGCATCCAATATGGCATTTCTATAATTTTATTATGTAGTGCAAAAAAGGAACATCCAACATGTAATAGGGTCCCTTGTAAGGGTAAAGGCAACAGGAAAACAAATAAGCATACCATTATATTCCCATGCTAATTATTATTGAAATTTGAGGAATTTCATCATTTCTAGCCTGCCATCTAGGTACACAGACATTTTTTCTTCTTCAGAGATCTGTGGTCACTGTGCTACCAGAAAGAAACAAGTACATAAATGTTTTTTTAAAAATTTCATAAGCACTTCAGAATATTTTGAATAGATAGATGGCGCAATATAAGTATGGTATGTTATTTTATTATCATTATTACTATACATGTAGTACGATAGAATTATCCAAAGATAATTTTTAGTTCTCACATTCTGAATAATAATATTAAGCACTATTTCTTCCACAAATATAATATAATGTTAACATTTGGCTAGTTACAATCTTAAACCCGCAAAAGGTATATGTACACACACCACCTTCAAACTACATATGTATCATCATATCAAGGATAATATATAAAAAGGATAAATGAGGATGAAATTCACCTTGAGTACTGATTATCTAAATCAGTTTTTGAAGGACTGAATGCTGTGACATTATTCTTTCAGTATCTACACATTCAAGAAGAACCACAGGATGAAACATCCACCTTTGTATCATTCCTACCAAGGCATCGTTTCACAAAACATTTAGGAGTACCAATTCATCAACATCCCATCGAACAAACGATAATTTCAATACACACGTTAATACGTTAATATAACATGGAATGATAGATATCCACTGTTATTTTGTGAAACTTGGCCGCGTATCTTTGTTTTCCTTACAGAATGCGTTTGAAGTCTGAAAATCAGAAGTTAGCTAAAGTTGCAATTATGTAGACAAGCACAGGAAAACGATCCACATGTGGGAACTGCTGTCAATTAACCCCAAACGATAATAACAATACAAAAATTTCTTATATATATATATATATATATATATATATATATATATAACAAGTCTACAATTAAACAATTCTTAGGTAATTCTAAAAATAAATGTATGCGAGACAGCCACTTTTTTCATAGTATTGAGATGAATAAAAAGCAAGAAAATCACAGGTGTCAAAGTCGCTTGAAAAAAAATACTGACTAAATAGTGAAGATATAATTGTCCAATTTCGTTGTTTAGTGATCACATTCTAATCTAGTAAATTTAACGAGATCCAATGGATCATCTGTTCTGTTTATAAACAACTCAAAATCTAAATAATCTCAACTTACTTTAGGTAATCAACTAAAATCAACTGACATTTGTATGCAAGGCATTAGTGATAGTACATATAAGCAGCATGTTCACCTTCAAGGGTCCAGGCTAACTTGGCATTAGGGGCATCTCTAAGGGCATCTCTGACTCATCGGAAACTCTATGTTGACTTAGCCATGCCCAGAGAGCTGAATCGATGACAAATACTTGAGGAAATTTTTCGCACTGATACATCATTTAAAACGACGAATTTTCAACATTGTTTTATAGGAATGTGTGAAACAAAACTAAACTATTTTGGGTACATTGTTAGGAGATCTGAAGGTGTTGAGAAGCAAATACTGCAAGGAGCAGTCGAAGGAAAACGTGGTAGAGGTCGTCCACCAATATCTTGGACTGGTATCAAGAAAGTGTCTGGACAAGGAATGAAAGGTGCAACACAAATGGCAGGTGAAAGAGTTGCATGCATGATCTCGTGAAGACCACAACAGCGCTTTACAGCGCCACCTGAAGTTGATGATGATGATGATGAAACAGTTAACCTTCTGCCTACTGAATTCTCTCGTTCTCAAAGGATTAATACAGGTGCCACCTGGTTTCCCGTAAGCAAAGGGTTAATAAAGAGGTAATGCTGATCATTTCAAAACGTGCAATTTCACCGAATATGAAATCTTATGCTAGTTATAGATCCAATGTGAAGGTAGCACTTCTAACTCTTGAAACCTAATCACTGTTTAATGCAGAGTCTGCCCCGGTGCTAAAGCTAGCTTGATCCCCCATGTTCTGACACACATGAATTCAATATTTAGTGATAAGGTTAATGCATCATCAAATCATAAATGTGAGTCATTGTGCACTGTACACATAGATGCTATAAAGCACATGAAAAGGCCTTTCCCTTTTGTGGCTATATAAATAACCCATCTGAATGTTCTTAAATCCCTCTACTGACGTCAAAGGTCATCTCGACTTGAGGATGACATAGATGATAAAGAAGACAAAGGCAGCAAAAAGAAACAGGTAGAGATAGTGGCAATGGAGTCCCCCCTTGGAGAGGCGTGATAGTCGCCCCATGGTGGCACCAAGAAAGCCACCCGAGGCATCAAACTCTTGGTCCTAAAAGAGGGTTGAAGAAAGTGAATTCAACGGATTAATGCACAATCTTTGCTAATTATAATCATGTTGAATTTATAAACGCACACAGTATATTATTTTCTTTTTCAAGCATTACAATAAAAAATAATTTCATGAAAAGGTAGAAAAAAAATGATCACAAGAATTCTGTAAGTGGGAGATCAAAGTTTCATCAGACACATGCGCAGGTAACATTTGCTCCAGGGCTCCGAGTCCTAGCTATATTTTATCAAAGATACATGTATATGGACATGGGATGGGTTGTAATTTTAGTCGCAGGATATGTTGGGGTATTTTGATTGGTACAGAACAAATTCAGGAATTAATTGAGAGTAAGCAAGTGACTCCGGAGCAACGGATGGAGCAGGTGTCTATGTGGTAGGGTCCACTATCAAGCAGAATTGGTATCATTAAATGCGCTCTTCAAGACATTTTTGTCTACACCAGTGGCAATAATTGATAATCCAATTTGAGCTGTTATGTACAAATAAAGGGAATGACTTCTTTCACTATTTTCTTTAAAAACAAATATCACAATGACAAATATGAGAATCAATCACTTACCATATCACTTAAAAGTTTGTTTTGTTCGTTGACTTCATGGCCCATGTCTATACTGAGCTGTAAGGTAAACAAAAGAAGGTGACCATACTGCAGTCATTTACAAAAGTTTAAGACTATCAATACAAAACCGTTTTACTTGAAGAAAAAACAAACTTTTTTTTCCTGCATGGTTCATCAAATTAAATAGTAAGAACTAAGATCAACATAAAAATAAACAAACAATAGCAGTAGACTTTAAAGAGGCAATAACAATAAAATGATGATGATACATTAACAGTAATGGTGCATGCAGAAACATGCAGAAGCCAGAAGTATAAGCCAACTATGAAATCATATCCATCTATTCATAGCTCAAATGGCACGAGATGGTGTTTACATCAACATTTTCCAGGCCTGCCTTGATCTTTTGATGACAATATGAGGGATAGATCACAACAATCCTCTGAAATGATTGAATTACATGGTCATCACAGGAGGGGTGGGGTAGTTTTTATTGGATGACCATGCCTTTCCTGGTCAGAAAATGAATCATCTTCTGTGTACTGCAAATATTACCAAGGACCTTATGGCTCAAATATGATCTCTTTTTGTCCACTGAACTAAGTTCCTAATTGCAATACATGTACAAAGCTTGATTTTGTTTCTTTCTTGCTATATCAGTACTACCTCCATAAAATAGGAACTTAGCCTTCTGAATCCTGTGAACGCATTGGAACCCAAACCATCGATTTAGTCTCTAGTCCCAACAACCACTAGGCTCCCAATGGTTTTGAAGGATTAAAAGAACTTAATGATAACAGATTTTTTTTTCTTCTTCAACAAGCCCTCTCGTATGATTGAACATTACAGAAGTTGGCAGCAGTATGAGCAAACAAGATAATCATTTTCAACAAGTAAGTACTTAGTATTGGAGATATTGTAGACAGATCAATGGAATACTTGCAAACACATCGCAGGCCTACCGTTTTTAAAACGCTGACTTTAGATCGAAGGTTTTCGGTGAGGTGCTGGTTCTCTTCCTCGACTGCATTGTAATCTCCATAGCCCTGACTGGTGGTCGGGTTGGTTCCACCTGAAAAGGTGATATGTAGTCTTATCAGAACAAGATGATTTTACATGATTGAATGACTGGTCCCTTATACACTGAATGCTCCAGAAATTAAATATTACTAAAATAGCTATTACTAAGTTTACCCGGACTGATTTTTTGTTAATGAATTCCCGATCAGACTCTCATCAGACTGCTACTCTGTGCACCGCAATATTAATCTGTTGTTTATTATGAATATTCATGAGATTAATAACAACCTCGAGCCACAATTATGAAAACAGTTAATAATAAAGGCCAACTCCACTGAAAAATCTCTAGATATGACCATTCAATAACTTTCCTGAAACCAGAAAAGAAAAACATTTATCAATGATCATATCAAGAGATTTTCGTTATTTGATGAAATAAATGTATAAATTGGCTGATCAAAGCCATCACCCTTCTGGCTCCATATGGACAAAATGTCAAACATCATATGGGACATGGAGTAGCCATAAAGGATTTACATGTACATGTAGCCACATACTGATGACTGGATTGGGAAGGAGATGCCAGACTCTAAATTGATCAAGAGTTGGATAGTGTGTTATCATCGTTTGTTGAAAAAGAAAATTGTAATGCTATAAAGAGCACCCAATTTAGAAAAGCAGGAGTACATGTACTAAAAAGCTAAACATTTTCCTTAATAACAAAACCAGTGACCAGCCAATACTTACAGGCTCCTGCTATAATTGTAATATCCCGTATTGGATTTTCCTGAAACTTCACAGATCCATTCCTCTTCACGTTTTGATTTTAATAAGTGCCCCATGAGACCAAATTGAGAACTTTTTTGAGGCGTGCACCAAAGAAAATGAAAATCCAGTGATATTACCAGCATTGACATATGGCTCTTTCTGGTATCACTAAATACAATTGTCATAACATATTTTTCATTTTTTGGGTGAAGTACATGGAAAAAGTAGTATGTCATATGTCTAGGACACATTGCACAATATCTGCCTGGAGGGGGCAGGGGAAGTTTATTTTAAATGTACTTGTGCCTCTCTCTCCCTTGGGAAAAATCTGGATAACCACTACTGTATATCAAGACAAAAACAGATGAGAAAACAATGGAGAGGAGAGAAAGAGAAATGCAAGTGGAAACAAATTCAAATCTGGATTACTGGACTTGACCTTGATCGACCTACCTCCTCCTCCTGCTGCCCGTCTCATAGTTGAAAGAGAAGTGCTTGATCAGTTGATGCTGAACTTCAAGATTGACGTCAATGATGGACCACTGACACCCGGCCCTTTCAATTATTGTCTTGTTTTCAGAGGTGTTGGTTGTTGTCCCAATTCTTTGGTTCTAGGAGTAGGCACCTTTGAAAGGTCTAGTCTGAGCTAGCACTAAATCCTGATAGCAGATATTTTCATGAATTGAAAGAAAGAAAGGAGAAGAGTAAGAAGGAAATAAACCATATTGTATTATCTACATATGCTGATTTTGCATTGCCAATTTGATGGTGACTTTATAACAATAACACAAAGCATAAAAAGGCATGCGTTGGTAGTGTCACTGTATTCAGTTAACTCCTTGTACTTGCAAGTTAATAAATTAAACTATGACGGAGTCATTAAAAGCTACATGTATTGCCCGAGGTCAACATCAAATCAGCAACGCGAAACAGCCTTTTTTTATATAACTTTGAAAAGGCGCGCGCCCGCCCACAACCAACCATCGGTATGCACTTGTATTGTGCAGCGGTTTGCCATGAAACCTGTGAAAAAAAGTGTATACTAATATCAATGTTTTTCCGAAAAATACTCCAAAAATAACAAGGAAATTGACACGAAACAGGTAATAAACATAATGACTTTTAACTCATGATCTTCATTTGGACATTTAATGAATATTTACTTCATTTTGGGTATGTTTCAGTAGGGTATCTCCACGCCACAGTTACGGGTCAAATTTTGGATAGGTTTCTGAACAAGCGCCGAGGGTTTGACTGAAATTTATTAATTTTGGTATCGAAAAAAACGTTAAGTCGCAAGCTTGCTCCTTGCACAAATATCCAATAGCATGGCATTGAGTGAATGGAAGACAGCGATAGCCAATAAGAAGGGCCTTTGTTGGCACCAATTTAGTAAAATGAGGATTCGATTTGCCGAGATCGGATGAACGATAAAGACAAACAAGTTCTAGATCTACATGCTGAGTCACCAGTTTCCTTTTTTTTCGGGGGAGGGGTCTAATTCTGCAATTTTGAAATACGCTGCACAAAAAAACTCTTCCAGCGAAAGCTGAAGGTAGCTTAGAAGATTTTTCTTGTAATGTATTTTACGTTCACATAATGTATGTGTTTTTGTTTACATGGCCCTTCACCTGTTCACACTCACAGATGGCAGATACATTGCCATTGCCAATGCAATGGCAATGGCATTACCCTGCCGTGTCCTAGGCCTGCAGGCCAGCGACAGCCTGGTCGCAGCGAGCGAGTAGGCGCTAGGCACTGCCAGAAAACAAAAGCAATCCGTCATCAAAAGGTCATGCCATCTTAGTTTAGAAACTTTACAACAACAACATACAGATGATAAGGTTATTCACTTACAACATTCAGCTCTCTGTCTCAATAATGAAATGAAATTCTTCCAAAAAAGCAAAAACAAGTAGTATCGGCTGTGCACCCTGTTTACAAAAGTACACGTAGCAGAAAAAGATAATAAACTTAGACGACAGTTTTTCGACGAACACGTAGCAAGTTGAACCTAGCCGTCAATATCTTGAACCAATAATTTTCAAAACTAATCTTATTTGATATGATTTCATTTTATTGGTTTTTGTAGTTACTTTTCATGTTGATTGTTGAAAATGAGAGTTAATAAACTACCCTTCAGGAATAAAATTAAAAAGATATTTCTAAAGGGCATTATTTTCATTTGATCACCCATCAAAATCTCATTTCTGCAATACTCATTTTCTTTAAAAAGATTACATATAAATGAAAATATGAAGCAAAGGAAGCTGTGTTCAGTAATAGTCCAGGTTAGTAACCATACAAAGCAATTCAAGTGAATAGCGAAAATTCAAGAAATAAATCAGAGCTTAAAATTAAGGAATATATTAATTATTTGAGGGAAAAGAAGAAAGCCTGAGAAAAGGTCAAGTGAGAGAGAAACATGTTATTATAAAAGAAGACTAAAATATAGGTGGTATCAGTGATTTGCAAGCATTTTTGTTTACTGAAGAGAAACATACATAGTTTAAAATTTAATGCTTGGAAAATTATGCCAAACGTGAAACTTAGGACAATTTTCTCTACATAACACTTTAAAAAATAAGTACATAATAATACCAAAAAAATAAAAGTAGTACTACCAGGAAGATACTACCCTCAGCTTGAAATAAAAAGGGCCAGCTGCATTGATGCAGCTTGACAAGATTAAACATTACCAGTACTTTGATTTAGTGGACCATTTGCTTCAGCATGACCTAAAAAGACTAAATCAGGGGTAGACTATTACCATGGTGAGTTTAATTGAGTATACTTTTCCCCACAGGATGCTTGATATTTTTGACGGTTGGTCGATTTCTGACTGAGGGCTGGTTGATCAAAAAGTAATATTAAACTAACAACAATACAGGAAATATCCTTAGGCAAAGTGCTATCTTCTTTCACTTATTTGTCTCGTACTTATTCAAAGTATTTTTTGGCTTTCTTCTTTTCTTTCATTTTAATCATTCAATCATGATCATTGTTGTCATAAACCCTTCCAATTATCAGTCTGTACAATAACCCATAACATGTAAGCAACGTACCTTTCCATTCTTTATTTGTGATGTAATCATGATGTAGCCGGGACATACAGGCCAAACTCTGTGCAGGGGCATCTCAAGTCTATATGCTTTCAAATCTTTCCCATTTTATGTTTTACATTAAAAGTAACAAAATAAACATAGTTCATTCTCTTTCATCCTTCTTTATAGTGCAAAACACTAGTTTCCACAAATGTTAATATCAAAGAGATGATATTAGATTGGCGAGTACCGTGAAAAATGAGACCTCTATATGACCAATAACACAAACACTGGGCCAGTGTTCAAGGTTTTCTAGAAGTGTTGCACTGAAGAGTAATATTGAATTACTTAAGTGTTTGAAACTTTATAGCATTTAAAGTCATTGACTTTTTTTTTACAAATTTGAATATCAGAGATATGATATTGACAAGGACTGTTAACAGTAATGGTTGAATAATTAACACCACAATCACTGGGACTGCTTAAAAAGTATTACACAGAAGATAATAATGTGTTATATATGATTTAAATTCATTTACTTTTATTCTGCTATTTTCATTCGTGTATACAACTCATGCATAGTCATATAATTTCATTTTTCATTCAATATAAACATTTCCATTACATTGCATCATGGTACTTGTACAAAATATACAAACTGAATTCTGATATTGGTTTTTTGTTTGATGGGCAAAATATATTCAGTAATATAACATACACAAGTTTCAAATGATTTCACACAATTTCATGAAATAATAATTGTGTTTGTAAGTTAAAATCTGTTTCAAAAAATTGTGCTTGAATTAAAAAAAAAATATATATATATCATAAAAAAATCATATCTCTGCCAATACATAGATTAAAAATTTCATCAAAGCCCCTAAAATGCCAAACATTTCCATTGAGTACCCATGTTAGTCGTTTTAAGTATGCCTAACTATATGTAGGAATAAGAAAGAAATGCGCAAATACACATACTGAATGCTAAAGGTTAATGAAATGTGTAATAACTGAGAAATTACACAAATAGATTTCAGATAATTTCTACCCTCCAGCAAAGTAAAAATGTGAGTAAAATGAATGACTCAAGTTCAACAAATTGTGGATCGGGCCTTCAAGTAGTACAGGAGTTGTGTTGGGAGGGGGGGGGGGGGGTATATGGCAGCTCCTACCTATTTGGGATGTGCCATTGACCTCAGGTCGAATGGTAACTACATTTTAAGCACATGATTTGAGTAACAAACCTACATAACTGCTTTATAACTATTTAACAATTTCTCCTATCTTTTTCATAATTGTACTTACTACATGTCTTCAAATTTTCTGACTAAGATTACATGGGTGCATAAGTTTCATCATAAATTGCAGGTTAGATGGAATTGTAACTTCACTAGTCAACCTATGTAAGAGATCATTACATTCCTCCAAATTCCTTCATGCTCTGGCAGTTCATTCAAGACTAGAAAGGCTCATTTATACACTTAACAACTTAATTATTTATACCCATAACAAGATTTGTCATTTGTTTAAGTATGTGAAAATTTATTTTTCTTGAGAATGTGACGTATTTATAAAAGCTTACATCTAAAAGTATTCAACATAGGTCCTAATTCAACCAGTCCACCTTTCATTCTTGAGTTGTGAAAAACACAAAAACATCATATTCATAAGGGTTATGAATAATTTACTTGTGTCAACTGTATATGCCGTGGTAAACTGCACTTGTTATTTTCTTCTTTTTTATTACAAGAATGGAAATTCGGCATGAAAAAAAGGAGCTGCATGCAACAACGGCCCAATGAATACACATTTATCTGTATTTCATAAGGTTTGAAAAATGTGAAGTCCATTACGATTAAGTAGGCTGAAGAAAAAAAACACCTAAGGTAAACTAGCTGCTACTGCAGCATATGTGAACAAGCTTCAACTCATTTCAATACTAAATCCTCACATTCCTATTGGTTTTACACAGGATGCATGGCCCTACGTGTTATCAGTGTCTGTGATATGGTGTAATATTAATGAAGCTCTAAAAAAAAGGGCGCTTCAAAATGATCATGAAGTGCCTCAAAAAAGTAAAAATCTTTGAGTGACCGGTTTTACCATACTCGTTTTCCCCAATAGACTGTAGTGTTATGAAAACCGTCAGGCGAACGGTTTTCAAAATTTGTAATTCCAATCATAAATATCTTGATAATCAGACAGGCGATCGGCTTGTAAAAGTCATGGGGTTCCTGACTGACCTAAAGGTTTATAATTATCATTGCATCATGAGCAAAATCCAGAATTTTGTTTCAGAATCTGAGACAAATTAAGTTACCGGATCCCTTTAAAAGAGAGTTAGAATTCATTTTCTTTGGTAGTCTATTTCAGATCATCAGAGGGTAAAGAGGCTCGTCATAAAGCACATGTGAGATGGAATCTGTGTTCTTTGGTGGTCCATTTCAGATTAGAAGGGTCAATGGGTTCTTCCAAAGACTTCTCAGAGTAGACCACTTCTCCTGCAGCATCTACAGTTATCACGGTGCTAGACCTGTCAAATTCAACAGATGGAAAAAAACAACAACATTTCAGTTTCAAGTTTTATTTCTGCATTTTCCATAAACAATAACAAAAATAACAATACATTTTAGCAATATAATGATAAGTAATACAAGTAGTAATTCACAAATGAATAAATATAAATAATCAATAGTACAATTAATCGTATTTGAAAAGAAAGAAAAGGGGGAGAATGCAGAAGACCGATATCGTAAGCAGAGCTTGAAATGATACCGGCCTTACAAAAGGAGGAGAGGAGACAGGAAGAAAGAGCGGGTGAAGAGAGTGCTGTGCAAAGTGAAGAGTGCACTGCGCGAGCTCCTCAAACTATCAAATAATTTCCTTTTTATATACAGATAAACAATGAATATTTAAAACAAGTACATGTAGTATATTATGACCAGAATCTAATTTTCATACCTTATCAATAAATATTCTTTCATCTTCACTTTAAAGTCATTATTCATTCAACAAAGACAAGATCAAGAAAAAAGTGAATACAAAACAACAGTAAGGTTTGAAGTGAGTCACATGGATGCTGGTAAATGAAATATATTAACTAAATAACTTGAACGTCTTCTTTCCAATCCATGTGAATTACATAAATAAATAGCACACAATAGCAAGATACAACAAATAATGAATTGCAAGTAGAAGAGGAAAACAAAAAGAAAACATGTCACTACTAAAACAATGAAATAATTTGAGGACGGCAAGGTATCAACCTGGGTTTTTAAATGGGTCCCTCCCCCCCTTAACCCTGCCACACCACAATATCTACTGGATCTTCATCCCCACGATGGCGAGGTGTGGCCTTCAAGGTATATTCAAGGTAAGGTATATTATGGAGCTGGTTTGGATTTAAAAGAAGCACAATGTTTCAAAGTCATAATGGGTGCATTACAATCTAGACTACCTTAGGATGATGATAAGAAATTATGGAGTTGAAGAAAAAAAAATATCCAAAAAACTAATTTATGTAGTGCATAACAGTTAAGTTGAACTAGTGCTGTTGCTTCTACCAAAAATTCTAGTCCTGTCTTGCTTGTTACCTTTCTAAACCCTTCTCCTTTTCGACACGTATAAATGTCATATTTTCCTTACATGATTTTGCGACACACATTACCATATACTCTATCAGGAGATATGTAAACATGTACACATTTTTATCAGGAAAATACCATATCTGGGTGTTACAGAGATGACATGAAATTGAGCTTTTCATCAATTAGTGGATTAAATTAAAGTCCCTCTTAAGAGTTGGGAGCCCCAAATTAGCAAAAATTGATGGCAAAATTTCACTTAAATTGTATCATAATGTAAAAGAGGATGATATTTAGAACACATTTCTGCTAGGAATTTCAAAACAAATGTGTTTGAAGTTCAATATTGATGAAAGAAAATTATGTATTCTGTTATCAATATTTGTCTTCAAACACATTTTTTTTTTTTTTTTGTGGGGGGGGGGGGGGGAGGGAATCTTTGCAAAAAAGTGTCTTAAATGAAATCTTCTTTCACATAATGATACAATTTGAGTAAAATTTTGCTATCAAATTTTTGGGGCTCCTAACACTTTAGAGGGGCTTTAAACTAATTTTTAACTGCCTTCAAGAAATTGGCCTATGAGAAAAAATACAAAAGATGCATAACATGATGGTTGCATACCGTGTTCCATAGACTGGTGACCAAACATGTACCATCTGTGGCAGTACTGCTCTCATTTCTTCTATAGTCATCCCAGGTTTGAATTTAAACTGTTCACCATTCAACCTAAAGGAAAGGATATACACACATGAATGTTGAATTCATCTGTGAGGTAGATATCCTGTACATCACCAAGTACTTGTCCTTGAACATATGTATTTTTATTGACAAATATACATCATATGTTTAAGAAGTTACGCAGTTGTTTTGTTATTATTATTTATTCATTTTGATTAAATTAGGAATAGAAAACACAGTTATCAGTATAAAGAAAACAAAATTATATGACAATTAAAAGGGAAACATAATTTTCAATGGCAAAAATGACTAGATGGAACTTCGACTGCGCGCAGTCGAAAATCATGCCTCCGCCATAGAGCGATTTCACAAACCAAAACAGAACCAATTTTTCAAATTCAAGTTTAATCGTAATCCATTTATAACAGGTTCTCAGAATATCGTGATTACAAGCTGTTTTTCATATACATGTATTACTCTTTTATCTTTGACCTCATGACCCTAAAGTCTAATCAGTTCATTGGCTTTGCAAGATACATACATGTCTTGTGTACGTTACATGGTAATCCGTCCATTGGTTCTAAAAATAATGCGATCACAAGCTAATGTTGCATATATAGTGAGCCCTTTGACCTTTGACCTCATGACACCAAATCTAATCGGTTCATTGGCTCAGCAAGAAACATACGTGTCCTGCCTTTGGAGGGAATCCATCAATCAGTTCTTGAGATAAACGCAATCACAAGCTATTTTTGCATACATAATGAGCACTGTGACCTTTGACCTTCGACCTCGTGACCCCAAAATCTAATAAATTCATTGGCTCTGCAAGATACATACATGACCTAAGTTTGGCAGGAATCCATCAATCGGTTCTTGAGATAACGCGATCACGAGCTATTTTTGCATACATAATGAGCACTTTGACCTTTGACCTTGTGACCCCAAAATCTAATCAAATCATTGGCTCTGCAAGATACATACATGACCCGAGTTTGACAGGAATCCATCAATAGGTTCTTGAGATCACAAGAACGGGACGTATGAACGTACGGACGGATGGAAGGACAACCCGAAAACATAATGCCTCCGGCTACTTCGTAACGGAGGCATAAAAAGACAAGATTGCCCCATCAGTTTGGTTGTATACTATTACTGTTACAAACTTCTTTCTGTTCAGTCTCATATAAAATATATTAAAGGCCACTACACAACTAACAACACAACTACTACTGGATTTTGCGATAAATTACAATAGGATTTCAAAATGTACCTGACTGAGGTATGAAATGTTCATAATCATTTAAGAATATTACTGGTACATGCCTTGCAGTCTTTGTGTACGTACCATAGTAAGAAAATTTGCTAAAATAGGGGTAATTTTCTGGGACTTTTTTTTACTTTAAGGAACAAGAAATTACACGAAAAAGGGTAATATATTTAGAGGACGAAGGTGCAACTAAAATTTTGCAAAAACTGGGTCCTTTTCTTTAGTATGCACTCAATTAGCCAAGTATAGGGTTAAATGCGGAGCTCCACTTTGTACAGTTGTTGATAATGTCCTTGAAAATAGGTAAATTGTTTGTTTTGCCAAACTGCTAAGAAAGCATGTCTATGCTTGAAAGTAAGCAACCAGGGGAACGACGGCTGTAAGTCCTCTCTGAGGGACTTGGTAATGAGGATTAATGCATTACCAAAGGGCAGTATTGCTTAGAACCCGGGACCTACCGGTTACAATTAAGACAGTGCTCTACTGCTCTGTTTGCCCTTTGATTATGATGTGATACCACTGAGCACAACACTCAGCAATTTTGATGTAAATGTTTATATGACAATTGGGAACTCAATTGGAAAGAAGTCATATTTTCTGAAATTTTACACATAATAGGACTATTTCTACTTCTTTCAAAATCCATTCTTAGTCAGGTCATAAGTTGTGCGGTGGAATGTAAAAAAAACAACAACATTGGACTGGTGCAAGCTCCTCCTCATTACACTCAACTTACAATTCACAGCTTTCCAAAACGCTGTGAAGCTTCTTGAGAAGATCTTCTGATGAAAGATCACTGGAGCTGTTGATAATCTCCTCTAGGTTCGTCTTCAGATGATTTGCCTTTGGCCACGGTTTTTCAAGAGTGGAATTGGAGACTCCAAAGATGCCTGCAGATAGAACACGCGATTATTAGAACAGAACACAAGATGAAGTTTGTACACTGTCATCCATTCACAGGATCAATAAAAAAAGATGTTTTAAACTTTTTTCCTTCATACTCTTCAATGATCATTCCACAGAATGCCTGGAAAAGTTTTTGTTTTAAAGGTCTATTTTGGACATTGCAGCTATAAACAAATGCTTTGAAGGAGATTGGAATGTTTTTTAAATTAATTTTTTAAGTTACAATTCATGGCCAGGATCTGGGAGAAGCAGGAGGGGGTCTGCTCCCCAACGGCTGAGAGAGAACCAAAATAACCCAGCTTTATTAAAGGTGCACATAACAAACACCAAGCATGATCAAAGCAAATGAGTTTACATGCTAACCTGGCTGCAGCTTTTGCGGTGGCTTGCCTGATTTATTGCTGAAATAAGCAGCATCCCCATTGCTTTAGGAAGAAGAGAGTAGGACAACAATAAACAACATAAATAATAATAAAAATAGTGTACCAAATAGGACGTCAGAGAATGAAGTAAACAATTGAAGGTGACATTAACGATTCAACTCCTGTATTTGTAACCATTTTAGTATAATGAGCTAAAAAAAGAAAGAAAACAAGCATATACATAACGTAAACCAAAGCAAGAAAATGTTCAATGATTGTTTAAAAGACACATACTATATTCATAGACTTAAAAGTCAATTCTAAACAACAGGCATCTCAAAAACTTCATGTAAAGGAGCATTATACACTATGGATCCATACATGCTTAATCAATAATATTTTTTCTTTCCATAAATGTTTTTTATCCATTCTAAACATGCCCTTCAGTATACGCACCTGATATCTAGAGTAAAGAGATTAAATCCATTATAATCTTCTCCATCTTCTGCGATTTTCTTTAGATAGTCGTCTGTTGTCTGCTCCCCTGTCAGAAAATCTGACACCAGAGCTCCTGGTAACAGAGATATAATATAATACATTCATTTGTAAAGCACACTAACTATGTCGATATATTCTACTACGCTGTAAGAGCTCATAAATGCTGTGCTATACATGCTACATAAACAAGTGAGTTTTCAGATACTGAAGCTCGACATTGCTTGATGGAGTGTGACAGGAAGGAGTTAAATAGGTGTCGAGTTAAAGAGTGTTGAATTTTAATTTTTAGTTGTGACGTGGCCTCTTTTTTGACATGAGGGAAATGGCTGGAGTCGTATCTTAATTCACACTTTCTACGATACATAATAAAGCCTCCCTCCCCGTATCTGAAATGTTCTATCATTTATACAGAATTTCAAAACTGTGCTAAAAAAAACACCATTTTTCAAATCTTACTAAGAACATGTACCACTTTTACATCAAGGCTTTCATTTTGTGGAAGGCCTACTGTATGTTCCATTATAACATCATAGTAAATGTGAATCAAGTAAATGTATAAATGTTTAACTAGTATCAGAATTTTTTATTATGTATAATGCACCATGGTTATTTTGAAAGTGTTGTTCTAGCTCTATTTGTTATAAGTCGCATTATACCTAATGTCTGCAAGAACAACAGGAACATGGCACCCAAAGTCGTAGTATTAGGGACCTTAGAAATGTGCCTTCTTCTTCTCCTATGTACCCTTGTTCTCAGTCTTCTTTTCCTTCTCTTTCTTCTTCTCCTTCTTTTTTTATCCTACCACTTTTTTCTCCTTCTTCTTATCATCTTCATTATAATCATTACTACATGTATTATTATTATTATCATTATTATTATTATTATCATTATCATTGTTATTATTATTATCATTGTTATTATCCTTATCATTGTTATTATCATTATCATTATTATTATCATTATCATTGTTATTATCATTATCATTGTTAGTATCATTATCATTGTTATTATCATTATCATTATTAGTATCATTATCATTATTACTATCATTATCATTATTATTATCATTATCATCATCATTATTAGTATCATTATCATTATTACTATCATTATCATTATTATTATCATTATCATTATCATTATTACTATCATTATCATTATTATTATCATTATCATTATTATTATCATTATTATTATCATTATCATTATCATTATCATTATTATTATCATTATTATTATCATTATCATTATCATTATCATTATCATTATCATTATTATTATCATTATTATTATTATCATTATCAGTATCATTATCATTATTACTATCATTATCATTATTACTATCATTATCAAAATAAGATTTCCAGCTTACCTCTGCCCTTAGCATCATCTCTGATACCACCAGGATTGAAGATGTTAAGAATGACCGCTAACCTTCCCTTTTTACTCATTCCAAGCCATGTCCCTCCTTCCTTTCCTGGATTCATATCAACACCTGAAAGATGAGAAAAATTCACATAAAAATTCCATACATTTATTTGTCAATCTCAAGTAATCTAATATGATCATGTGAATTTAAGTTTTCATCATCATCTCATCACCGTTTAGAGTCCATTTGTCCCACTTTGTGGGTTGGACATTTTATTTTTTAACAGCCACCTTCCAAGGTTTCCTGTCTGTGGGATCCACACGACCGACACCTGATGTTTTGGCATCCTCTTCGATGGCTTCCCTCCAAGTTTTCCGGAATTTTCATCATGCAGGGACCACTATACAAATGTTGACTGCTTTGAGGGGCACGGTGAAAACTATGGCCCGAGGTGAGCTCGGAACTGTGCTGTTCCCCCGAGACGATAGTCGAGGGGCATTGTGCAGTTGCGAAATGTGAGATCATGGAGGGCCATGGTTTTTAACCCTGAAGCAAAAAAGAAGCAGTCAACATCTGTTTTATAGACCACATCCTTCGTGAGCTGTGATTTTAAAGACAGATGAAATACGGCACCGTAACGTAATTTTCATCAATTGCTCTTTAGAAATTTTGTTCGGTGTACAATTTTTGTACATGTATGAAATGTTGCCGGCAGCGTGCCTGCGTAGCTAAATTGCCATAGCTACATGTACGTGCGCGCGTTCAAAGACATAATTCTATGCCCGGTCAATATTTTCACTATACCGCCCTGCAGTCCGTAGTGAATTTCATGCCCGCAAAATTGGACCAATCAGAGGCCTAGATTCCAGAGTCTGAATTTGAAGGTTTCCACCGACTTGCAGTTTATTCTCATATTTTGTTTGGACGGGGTGTGCCACTCAAGCCTCGAAACCCCTACCCATTTTAAAGGTAAAGACCAGTATTGGAAACGCCCCAATTTCAAAAAATGAAATGGAAGCTCTTATTACCAATCATGTGAAAGAATATGTTTTGACTAATACATGATGATAAAAATTTTGCCGGGAAACCGCCTACTAATTGATATATTTGGTAAATTAGTTTATCTATTGGTGTGTGAGAGATAAACCCACGTGTCGCACATGTGTGCGTAGTCCCATATACATCTTTTTGTGTACAGTGTTTGTAACTTTATGAAGACTGGGCCAAATTTCTTATCATTTTGATGATTCCAGAACCTTGCAGTAGGTCTGCACACCAATACTTATATGCTAGATGATCATCCTTTTCTGATCGATTCCACAACGTTTATTTCACAATGCAATTGCATGACCATAATTGGTCTTTATCTTTAAAGTAGATATTCATTGATTTTAAAAACTAACTTTATTTTCATTATTGCAAAGTTGAAACTTTGAATTCGACAAGGTTACCAAAATTCAATGATTGGAAACATTACGAAGTAATGATTATTATAAATTACAAAACGCTTAAATACAGCCCCGGCATAGCACCTGAAGAGCTCTCCGGAAGCTGCTGAGATGTGTGAGATCACAGTATGGACATGCTTTGCACTTTAAAGCAGACGATGTCCCATGACATCTCACACATTTCCAGTGCCTGTGTTTTCATCTTCTCTTGAGTTCTTTCTCTTACTTCACTACCGTCAGGCTAAATGTATAATCTATTGCCTCACTCTAAACCCCGCGCATGGTTTTATTTTGATGACAAATGCAGCGATAAAAAAATAAAGGATTCTGTCGCCATTGTATATTCAGCTGCACACACCGCGGTATGTTCGATGTTTCAAGAGGGAACAAATGCTGTTCTTAATATCATTCCGGGTGTTTTTCAATTTGAAAGTCTGGTTTCTTTGATTGTTAATTAACCCCTATCCTGTGTATTTACAAGCAAAAGATTTTAGTTATCAGAATCGGGTCATATCCCCTTTTGAATGGTTTGACATGCCATTACATTTATATACACTAAACTCATTATAATTCGACAAATAATAGCTTTGCAATTCTATTCGTTCTTCATGGGATGTCGTCTGCTTGGGCAGTATTGGTCCATAAGTGACGTCATTAAAACATCATTATTTTTCTAGCGAATCTCTCGTATATCCCAGCTGCTATGGAGGTGGTTGTATTAATCGCCCGATATGTAGTTGACCTAAAACTTGTTAGATGGCCATCTGTTAGTTTACTAGTTTCTAGTGATACATTTATAGTTGACATAGACTATTTGTGATTTTCTTTGAATTTCACTCTTGAAGGTTATTTGGGGGAAATTTCCTCGAAGGCCCATTTTCCACAATTTTCGGGTGTTAGAGTGAAGGAGGGGGTAATCGACCAGCTTCAGTTTTCGGCCGATTGGTTGGATGCATGGTAAAATCCCTTTAAAATACATCGCATAATAGCATATCACATATCCCACACATACCATACCATCCCAGAGTCACTGATGAACCACATTTGCAATGAAAAATATATCCTAAAATATCACATTTTAGCGATGTAATCGGCCCCGCTACCCGAATTTGAAAAATTGAGTATCTTACGCGTGTCTGTAAGAAATATGGGTACCATAAAATGAGCTTTATTTCAAGTATTTTCCAGATTAAAAGCCCGATTTTGTGTCAGTCGCAAGCTCAAAAGTATCTCACCGCATGTATTAAATCAATGCAGCCGGACACCACAACGCACACACGATATCTCTATCTAATTCAGATTCCAATTTCCGGTCACTGCAGTACTAGTTTTCGGCCTGGCGAGCTCCGCCCGCTAGTACTATAGATCAGCGCAGAAACGCACAGCGCGCGCACTTCCTATCGACTTTGTATGAAGGGGTGACCAAAGTTCGCGGATATTTTTCTTTTCTTGCATATTTAAAAAAATCCAGATCAACATATATCATGTTCCATACGTCATAAGATTCGTAATTTATCATATAATCAGATTATATAACATTCCAAGGCTTTATTTACTTCAAATCAATGATAAGATGAGAATATCGGAAGCCTTACCACTACCGACGTCCGTCAAAAAGTGTGACCTAAGTTCGCGCATGATATTTACTGCCCTCTTGTGATGGGCTTTATATATGTAAACATTCCAAAAAGTTACGTAGTTTCAATCAGAAGCCGAACTTTATATTGAAAATTGAAAATATTGAAAATATAATAATTTCTCTCTATCATTGAAATATTGCCCGATAAAAATACCCTTGTTAAATTTTGCAAATAAAAGACAATATTTTTCAATGTTCATGTGTTAATGTCAATGTAGTCCCTATCTGCATGTCATTTGTTTGTTTGAAAAAATTATCATGTGTCTCCATTTTATATGTCAGCCATACACGAGTGCTCGCTCTTTTCTCTCTTTGTCTCTCCTCTTTCCCCTTTTAAATTTGTATTCTTACGAACCATAGATTCATTGAAATTCACAAACACAGATACGGTGGAAGCAGGCGCGCAGGTTCCGTTTTTCGCGTAAGAAATTGGAATTTTATCATTATTTTTCGGAGTCGATCCCTCTAATAAACTGATTTTCATGTAAAAAAAACACAATTTGTTATGATAAAAAGCGTGAAAAAGCTAGCTTATGCACATTTTTATGCCGCATTTTGACCTTTGGAGTTGTCGACGGTGCTCAAAGATTTCGTTGTCTCAGTCCCACACAGGCATCGCGTATCGTTCTCCTGTTATAAGCGCTTTTAGTGTTAGTACGCGAACTTTGGTCACACCACCATACATGCGGCCGAAAACTGGTTCACTAGACTATGCCAATAACTGACTCCAAAACAGTGAAAATTGAAATGAATATTGTCATGGCAATTCGTGATTTTTTTCTGGGATTCTTTGTTTGTTTAAATAATAATAATATTTGCTTCATGATTTGAACAAGAAATGATAATAAATAGGAAGTAAAGGGTCCAAAAAATAGGATTTTGTCTTAAGTGGCCGAAAACCCCCTCCTTTTAATACTCTATTCACCGTTTGCCAATGCCATGCAAAAACCAGAACATTTTGGAAATTGTGAAAAAGTCACCCATTAGCTAGAGCAACACACCCCCGTATGTCTTATATAAGTACCTCCCTCCCCCTCCCCATCCCCCTCCCCCCTCCCACCGGTCCCGGCCCAGCAACCCCTCCCCCTCTGTTCCCTGAACTAAGATCTACATCTACATCACGTTTAACAATACATGGGACTGAAGTAACTTACCACCAACAATATCGGGATGATCAGTCCAGAAATGGGCAGCTTTGGTGGGTCGGTTGAGAAATTCATCCCTGTTGAATATCATAACGAATCTGTAGCCACCAGCAGATGGATTCGCATTGATGCAGAACGCTGTAACACACATTTCTTGATTTTTGTTGGAGATAAATTTATAAACTTAAAAGATTTCATCGAACCTGTTGATTGTCGCCCTCAACGCGCCCTACTATACTTATACGTGTTTCGTAATCCGCGAATCTGATTGGATGAAAGTTCGTATGGTGCGTATTATGGTAACTTTCTTCGTGATTTTCCTAAGTTTTGAGTTTTCCCATTTGGGTACTTATTTTTTCCTTTTTAGGCCGGAGAGGGTGGAGCACATGCCCATGTACCCACCCCCCCCCCCCCCCTGCTCTGGATCCGCCACTCCAACCCTTATCAGGCTCTTGTCGATCTTTGGACGCTTAAATCTTCAATATTTACTTTTGATCGGTAAAATTGTTGTCATGCATATGCATACAGTTATCATCACTTTGATTAGTCTGTTTATTCATCCATCGCAGTCGTAAAGTAAATATTGTCAGATAGGGGCCTCTATATATATGTGTCCTTCTTTTAAAGACTTCCCATAAAGACCAAACTAATAGTACTGCATAAAATCCAAACATATAATGAGAGGACGTGAGCCTTCACAGTCATGTAGGCCTAATACTAAACATTGTAACTTTCGTCTAAATAATCTCATTTGATGGAAACCTTTGATGTTAATGATAATGAATACAAATATTACATAAATGCTTATTATTATGTCGTGTTCATGATCACGAAGAAGCTATTAATTTGAGGAATTGAACCTTGAACCGTGAATTTACAGACGTAATGATTTGATTGGGATAGGTCTCAGATGCCGTTGTCGATGCAATTGCATCCGTAATAAGAGTCGGGTATCATTAAGAGTTCAGATAGTAAACGTGGAATTGCGAGTCGATATGATAAAATTGGTCAGTTGTGGGTGGCCAAGACTGCTGGCCTTTGTTTGCATCTTGTGCACGTGTTCCAGCGCAATACAAGGTAAGTGTAAAAAACTTAAGCCAGCAATGACTGGATTTGCCATACTTTTTATAATATTTCAACTTTGATATTTTATTAGGTGATATGATGCGTTCAGCTTATTGATTCGGAAGGCATTATGAAACCGAAATATGAGGTAACCAATAGGGACCCTATACTATGCCACGCATATTGAATGTTATCATTATTTCAATCAATGCCGTTTATAAATTTAATTTGCGAATATGAAATTGACCAAATTTCACATTCCTTGACCAAGTGTGTGTAATTTTTTTTGTTTACAGACGTGTATCAATCGGACATGATTATTTACATTTTACGTCACCAAGCATAAATACCAAACCAACAGTGTAATAAGATAATCAAGTTTGATTAAAGGTACCATGTCCCATTTGCAGGCCAAAAAATGAAAAAGTTAAATTCCAACTGCATTTGAAAGATAATACTAATTTAGAACTTCCCTAACAAAGGTGGGGCTTGAAAATGTCTTCAAGTGGGAAAATAACGACTATTAGTTGTCAAATCGACTTTAGGGCTATAGAGCCCAAAAGTAATAGTCTTGATTTTCAGACAATAATTGTACCGAATGGTCATACGTTTTATGCTGCGCAAAGATTCAATCAGTTTAATCTTGGCCATCACAAGAAGTGGGTTATTGATGTAGACAAATGCTCATGTATCCTTTACAACTCTTTTCATGTATGTTATTACCAAAGAAGAAAAAAAAAGCCAGTCAGTCACTCAATAGTGTCTGACAGTGAAGTCTAGCAAGTAAACGGGTTTCCTTGCATAATTTGAATATGAGGACACTGCTAACGTTTAAATTTCACAGATAGGACGTACATGACATATTCATAATTCCTGCAAAGTTCTACAGAATTTGAGGTTGGCTGCAAAAGGGACATAGTACCTTTAAAGTTGTAAAAAGTGATTTCTATTTATTCATTTTTTTCAATTTATCTATAGTGGTAAGGCATAGTGGCATACTATATGAGGTGCAAATCACACAATCCATAAGAACCGTGAATATATATATATATTATTAAGTATTTTTTTCAAAGTTTATTCATTCAATACATGTACATCATACAAATTATACAAATTATTTCAAATTACAAATACACAATATACACAACTGAATTATTTTGAATGAATAAATCTTATTGTAATAACCCCCTTCCCCAAATTAAAACACAAAACAATGACGAAGCCTATAATTAAAAAAAAGAAAGATTACAAAACACGATTGCAACTCGGATACATCAACTCAAGGGCATATAAATCATGTTAGAATTACGTAATGCGTCATTGTAATGTTCGCAAATTTGTTACGCACAAATTTTGTTAGGTTGATTTTGTATATCCTGTTACAAATCTATTGAAATAAGTCACCCGAGTTGAAATTTGAATAAAGTCGATAGCAATGACTAGGGGAAATAATAGGGGGATTTTTTATTTTATTTTTTAGACGTGCCTTAAAGATCGGGAAAACAATTTTCCTTTTTGTTTTTGTTCCATAATTTCTAGAGTGTACAGAAGACTATAACCACGCCGGACCCACAACCAAAGACATATTAGTGACGTCATTCTTTTCCGTTGAGTATCAGGCTGAGGAACATACGTCACAATGCCGGGTTCGTTACAGCGTTCCCTTGAATGCAACCGTTTATCAGGGGATGAAAGCTGCTCACCAGCAACACGGAGACAACTTCACGTAAGTTTGTATCTTTTAATCTTTGTTTTCATTGCCAACTAGATCTACGTTCCCCTCTTTCAATATTTTTTGTTTCTTCATTCTTTCTTTTGGTCTTTCTTCATCCTTAAAGCTTATCTGCCGTAGTTTACAGGAGGGTTTAGAGCGCCCTGCAAGGTCACTGGACAGGTGGTTATCTCATCAACTCAGCTCTCAGTTAACATAAGAAAAAGAGGATCATGGGGGACCAATGGTCACCGATTAGGCATTGTTTGTTATATAGAGGGCGCAAGTAGCTACAAGTAGTGCAGTGGGCCTTTAACATCTCCTCTTTTTCTTCTTTCTTTATAACGTTGTTTCATTTTTTCTTCTAGTTCATTATGATCAAGATCATCTTAATCAAAACCATTGAATTTGATCTTTTTTTTTCATTTTCTCCTCCCCTTCTTCTTGTTCTTGTTTTTCTAAGCCTTGCTTTTTTGCCCTTCTTTTCTTCTCGCCTTTTTCTTACCTCAAATCAAAATGTTCACGTAATTTAAAGATTATGATCTTCCTATAATGTTTTTCCATTTTTACTACCCTTTACTTCCATATTTCTTCTACTTGTTTCTTCCTCCTCTGTTCTTCTTTTCCTTTACCCGTTTTACCTCTCCATTAGACCCCTGCTTTCCTAATAATGACGGGGTGATGATGATAATTATGATACTACTACTACAACAACTACTACTACTACTACTACTACTACTACTACTACTACTACTACTACTACTTCTACTTCTACTTCTACTTCTAATAAAAATGATTATAATAATAATAATAGGCCTGGTAACAATGATTTTATTCTGTATTTTCATTCTTGTGTTTTCAAAAAATGTACTTTCTTCTTAGACTTTTAATGATTTATTTGACATGTATATCATTTTGTAGATATGAATACGACACTTATAGTCAGTTTGGTCATCACGTGACGGCAATCAATGGGGTGAAAGGTCATGACACAACTCATTGGGCCCTACATCACGGAGATACATTGGAAGCTGCAGAATATGGTATTTATTTATATTTATTACTGAATTAATTAGACCAAAATATTATTACTATCATTCATTATTCATGTTGCTATTTTATCATTATTATTATGATTATAATAAGTATATTTTAATTATAATTATAATCATCATCATTATCCATGCTATATATTAATATGTGTTTTCTATTTTGTGTTTAAAAAAAAACAGGTGTAGATCTTCTGCATATCGAAGCTGATGATCTGTATCTTTGGCGTTATACAGACTACGAAGATGGAGAATTCGACCCGTTTAACTCTACTGGTTGGTATCATTTTTTTTAACTAAATGATTGAATGCAGCCGTTCAGATATCTATATAGCCTTTAATGTAAATGACAGTTTTTTTAACACACTATCCTGATAGGTCTGATCTTGTAAAAGAAAGAGAGGCAAACATATTTTTCTAACATCAAAAGTCATCAGAGTTTCTTTAAATTCTTGATATTTATGTTAGAAGTTAAGCTAGAAGGTAGTAGAATTTTAGAATACCACTAAAATATAGGCCTGTATCCATTTTAATTTGGTGAAATACTTTTAATGGATGCACTAGCTGTCTTTCTCTACCTGTCTCTTTTTATAAACGATAGAATTTTAAAATAAAGCAATTGAAAGCTGTATAGGAAATTGTTGTAAAGTACTAACCAATTAATCATACACTTTGAGCTCTCATTTTGGTAAAACAACTATATAAGAAATAAATTACTTTAAGAAATGAAAAAAAATCCTTGTAATTTGGTTTTGTAAAATAGCGAAGCGAGTTCACCTGTCAGTACATCAAAAGTGAATAGGGGCACTATGGTGAATTTAAGTCTCACAAAGTTTGATAGTACTTTTTTCTTCTTTTTTTCCTACTCATGAAGGAGAATGTCATTCTGCGGTGGATGATATCCTACCAGCTCTCCCTTTCACTGATGTAGTCGTGTATCTATCGGTATCAACAGAAAACACCGCTTTGTTTACCAACGGGACGTTCGTATCAAAGATGTGCAAACGACTGGTTCTGACAGAGGCGACGTCTACACTGTATGACGTCACGTTGGCGGCAAATGATCAATCCATTACATTGTTTTTGTGAGTGTGACTGGATGTCAAATTTGAGTATTAAGTTACAAAGTTAAAAATCACACGTGGTTCGCAGTTCGAGTCCTAGTCTGCTACCATGTCCTTTGGCAAGACATTAATCTACCCTTGCCACTCTCCCCCCAGGTGTAGTACACGTGTGCTTTGTAGGCACCTTGTACGAGCACTGTCTGATATGGTTTATGTCTGTTTATGTGCTTGGTGTGTCAGCTTAAAGTTGCAAAAAGGTTCTTCATTCTGTTGACTGTGTGATATATTGTCAAACCCTTTTCATAATTTGGTATACTTTCAGAGCTGAATTGGATTCCGAAGATCATGCTATCACCCAACTAAATGGTTTAATGAATCAGGGAGGATACACATGGAGAATATTTGATGCGGTATCTCAACAGATATTTCCAACAGGTGACCTTGCACTATCATATTTTCTTCCTCTTTGTCTTTCTGTATGCGCTCTCCTATGAGCCTACCCCTCTTTCTCCTACTCTCTCTATACTTCTCTCTGCCCCACTCCCTTTCTCTCTCTCTCTCACACACTACACACACATACACATACCTCTCTGCCTCTTTAAAACAAACACACTTTCTCTCTTTCCCACTAACATCAAATCTCTCTGTCTCTCTCTTTCTCTATCCCTCTGTATACCTTGGATGTATATATTGGATCCTATTATAAGTCGTTTCCATTGTTGTGTAGGGGTAACAAAACATGTTTATACCAAAACATGAGGCAACTTTTTGAAAGATCCCTCCTTTTTAATAAGAGAATGTTTCCTTATCCTCACTCGTAAGCTTCAAAATAGTGGGAATAGAATATATGTATGCTTGATGTACATGTATAACACTCTCCTTTCTCCAGCATCTGTAATATTGATAAATATAAATAAGTCCAATATATATTCTATGTTTTCTGTAACTCCTAATTTTCAGCAGTGGTTTCACACTTGAACACCTTAGCTTTAACCACAATATTTCCTTTACAGTGCTTGTATAACACTTATTCCTAATTGAATCATGATGATAAAAATGAAGATCGCCTTACATATATGAACAATGTTGCATTCAATCCTTTCCATTTTTTAAAATTTAGATCTGAGTATCACTACAATCCAAGATGGCGGCCACTATGAATACCACTTCACAGAAGACAATCTCTATCCAACTCAACCATACAAAGATTTCACAACTGAATCTAGATCTGGAAGGTTGTCGATAGTCTACTTTCATTATATAATTGCCCTAGTATCAGTTTTTATGAATGATGAATTCAATGCATATTATTGAAAATAAGACAATGGTTTAAAATGTACACAATCATGTCTTGTGCAACAGAGCACGATCTGTCACTAAACTCAGTTGCCAATTTGTTTTAGATGTATAATTATTTAATGATCAAAATAGGCTAAACTATCTGTTGTATTTCCATTGTCGAAAGTTGGGTTAATCAGTTAGCCAGGTATTATGGACGAAAGAAGATGGACTAGCAATCATGACAAATCTCAAACAGTTCTTTCGTTCGATATACTTTTCATATATTTCCCATTAAATTGTGCACAATTGTAAACCTTTCTACTCATGATAACCTCCAAACGACCTTTCAATAAATATTTTTTTATAATACACTGACATACATATAGACGCTGACATGATAAAATTTATTAAACTTTGATCAGTAAATACACAAGAAAAAATGATAATATACATTCATGCTTAGTAATTTTTCTCATACCTGGGCAAGTCCCAGATATTTGGTCGTTTGGTGTCTCATACTGAAACTTGAATATTACAGGGACACACAGTTCCCATAGGCAATATTGACAACAAATGTGTCATTTCACTTCATACTTCGTCTGCTCTAAGCTATAGTGTTGCCAATCACTGAATTCACTGATCAAACTTACTTAACCGGTTGACTACTGCATTCTCCATTTCCCATAGGCTTAATACAATGACCACCCTGTTCCTCCAGGCAAAGCGTCACAATAGCTCTTTACAGACACAAATTTTGAGAAAATTTGAATAATCCCTTAAGCATAAATAAAATGACACCTTACCAATAAAATAAGAAGTATTTAATGTTTCATTTAAAAACAACTAGGGAAAATCTTCTATATACAGTTTATCAGATGACTCTTTATAAGTGTTGTTTATTCATTATGGCACATATCACATGACTATTCACAAGCAGCCAGGGGCGTACGCAGGGGGAGGGTTTTGGGGGTTCAAACCCCCCCCCCCCTTTGGTATTTTTATGTGTGTAAACCCCCCTAAAAAAACCTAAACCCCCCCCCTCCCCCCCCTTGGATTTTTTTTTTTTTTTTTATTATTCCAAAAAAAAAAATATGCCCACGGCTAACCTAAAAAAGGTGACCTTACCCCCCCCCCCCAACGAAGAAAAATGTCAAATTTTCAAATTTTGAGACCAAAAAAAAAAAAAAATGTCCGCTTACCCCCCCCCCCCCCCCCAACTGAGCGACTTTTCGGCCGGCACGATTTTAAATTTTTCAGGAGCAAAATATTTTGGGCCCGATTTTAAAACCTGCCCCTTGAAAAAATCCTGCGTACGCCCCTGCAAGCAGCTGTATATTTAATGTGGTACAAATAGATACAAAATTTGCTACTCTGGCATAAAATATATTGTCTGTTCAGAGCCAGAGGGGCATTCACTCAGTGTTATTAAGAATGAGTAAGGTCCCTACTGGCTACAAACAGATGATGTAAGAATTTAATTCTCCTAATAACTTCATGTATTAAAGATTACAACATAATTGATTAATCTATTTTATTCACAAGAATAAAAGACAGTGGAATGTACATGTAGGAACAATATTTTGCCTTTGCTTTGTTATTACAATCAATCTATGCTGCTGTACATAAAAGAATAATGTGCATCATTAAATTCTCAAGAAATTTAGCTTGATTTACCTTGATGATAAAGTATAATAAACTTCTTTGCCACTCAACGTTTTCTTATGTGAGGTTCCTGTGGGCTGTGGGTCTAGTTTCTACTGTCGCATTTGCTGTTGCATGCATAGGACAGACATGAACACATATCATTATGGTCATAAGTAATTATTCAAACACAAATACGATTTGCAGTCCCACAAACACCAAGATTCTCCAACGTTTGGCTACCCTCATAATTCTTGTAAAAATTCAAAAATGAATACAGTTTGGTCCAGACAAGTTTCTAGTAATTTTTCTCAGACTGGAAACAAATTAAAGGATACATTTTAATTATATAATTATATGTTGATCTTAATGAACATAACTTTAAAAAAAAACTTATAATGCTTTTATTACCTTGATGTGTATTAAAAACAAATATGATGTTAATAATTAATTATTTCATTTGGATACCAAATGTACCATACAGGGCTACATGAAATGTAGCCTGGCATAACAATGCTACGCTGTTTAATGAAAACTACAAATAAATAGATGGAATAAATATAGGTTAATGATGCAAAGGAATGAAAGACATGTACACATGCATTTTTGCATTTATTTACACACTTTCTAGGGTATAATGGATTTCTTATTCACAAAAGCCTAGTCTAAAATGGTTTTCTTGTATGAATGAAAAGCTCTAAACTTTTCATTTTGTAACAATGAATATATATATATATACAAACAAGTATGTGTTACTATCATTAACTGTTTTCTTGTTCCAAATATCAAAAACAAATAAGAGAAATCAGCTACACACATGCCCAACTCTTAAATAATAAAATATTATAAACCAATGATTTGAGCAAAAGCACACTACCGCAAATGACTTTCTTTTGATATATAAATAATTATAAAACATTGTCTGTACATTAACCCAATGTTTAAACCTACCACAAGTCATTAATGCTTTATTTATTTCATTCTTTTGGGACTTCAAAATTGTCTCCCAAGAGCCAGAAAGGTCTAGAAGGGTGTTCACTCTGTGTTAGAGCCTATCAGCACTGGTTTGGCCAGAAGGGATTAGACCTCCCTGTGTGGTAACTGACAGGTGGTTATTTCATCAAATCAGCTCTCAATTAACATAAGAACTAGATGGAATTCGACTGCGCGCAGTCGAAAATGATGCCTCCGTCAAAGAGCAATTTTACAAACCAAAACAGAAGAAATTTTTCGAATTCAAGTTCAATTGTAATCCATTGACAGGTTCTCAGAATATCGTGATTACAAGCAATTTCTCATATACATATATGACCCTTTGATCTTTGACCTCATGACCCTAAAATCTACTCAGTTCATTGGCTCTGCAAGATGTCCTGAGTTAAATAGTAATCCATCTGTCAGTTGTAATGAGAATGCGTTCACAAGCTATTTTTGCATACATAATGAGCCCATGATCTTTGACCTTTGACCTTATGAACCAAGAATCTACTCAGTTCATTGGCTCTGCAAGTAACATACATGACCTAATTTTGGCAGGAATCCATCGATCGGTTCTTGAGATAACGCGATCACAAGCTGTTTTTGCATACATAATGTGTGCTGTGGCCTTTGACCTTTGACCTCATGACCCCTAAATCTAATCAGTTCATCGGCTCTGCAAGTATCATACATGACCTAAGTTTGGCAGCAATCCATCAATCGGTTCTTGAGATAACGCGATCACAAGCTGTTTATGCTTACATAATGAGCCCTGTGACCTTTGACCTTTAACCTCATGACCCCAAAATCTAATCAGTTCATTGGCTCTGCAAGATACATACATGACCAAAGTTTGGCAGGAATCCATCAATCGGTTCTTCAGATAACGCGATCACGAGCTGTTTTTGCTTACATAATGAGCCCTGTGACCTTTGACCTTTAACCTCATGACCCCAAAATCTAATCAGTTCATTGGCTCTGCAAGATACATACATGACCAAAGTTTGGCAGGAATCCATCAATCGGTTCTTCAGATAACGCGATCACGAGCTGTTTTTGCATACCTAATGAGCCCTGTGACCTTTGACCTTTGACCTCGTGACCCCAAAATCTAATCAGTTCATCGGCTCTGCAAGATACATACATGACCAAAGTTTGGCAGGAATCCATCGATCGGTTCTTCAGATAACGCGATCACAATAACGGGACGTACGTACGTACGGACGGACGGACGGACAACCCGAAAACATAATGCCTCCGGCTACTTCGTAACGGAGGCATAAAAAGGGGTACCGCTTAGGCATTGTTTGCTATATGGAGGGTGCAAGTAGCTACAAGTATTGCAGCCCTGCTTTAAAGTATATGAGTTAACACCATTCTGGCTTTCAGCAGAAAAGAAGAAGAAGAATGTATTATTTATGGAATAAATGCACATCCCCATTACAAAGCTACTGGAATATATCTCAATATAACATTATTTGGGGGATTCTGGAGTATACATACATCGTCTATTGCACTTTGATCATCTTGTACCCTAGCGAAACAGTTCTAATAGGGAATCTCATTTTGGATGTACTGGATCATGTCATAGGTTCTGGTCCTGTGAGTTGGTAGAAAGGAAAAACAAAAGGAAAGAAAGAAAGAAAGAAAGAAAGAGACACGTGAGATAGAAGATACAGAGTAATGGAGGTAGGGAGGGGAGACAGTGTGTGTAGTTGGGTGTGATTTGGTGGAAGTGGGGAAAAAGAGAGAGAGAGAGAGACAGAGACGGACATAGGGACAGGAAGGGTACACAGTGAAAGATAAAGGTGAGAAAAAGAATGTGGTAGAAAAAAAGCAAGATTAATAGATGGATACAAAGGTAAAGAAAGAGAGATTGAGATTTTTAAAAACAGGTAGAAAAATATTAAGAGGTTGACATAAAAACAAATATGTACAGGATATCTTAAGGTACTCAGAGAAAACAGGGACTTCAATTAACATTGCAACATATACTCCAATTTGAAATGGTTACATACTTGTACCTTACATGTATTTCATTCTTATCCATGCATTAATGCTTTCCTGTAATAAAAACATTTTCTTGTATTCAATCGTAAAGGCCACGCCATGGGGACATTTGCTTTTATCAAGGGGTGAGAAGTGGGTTAGATAGTGGGATAGATATTCAAATAGCATCTATCGTAGTTACATAACAAGAGCTAGCAGACTGACTAGCAATTGTAATGGGGGGGGGGGGGGGGGGTTACAATCCAACATGCATGTGTACATACCCCCCCCCCCCCCCCCCCCCCAACACAAAAAAGGCATAAGTACCTATGGCTGATCAAACACAAAAAATGAAGAATGTGTTAAGGATGTTAATGAAAGTTTTTCTTCTTAAAAATGTGACAGAAAGTAAAAGCTTCTACATA